GGGCGTGGCCGGCGTGGGCTCGGCGCGGTGCAGACGGCAGCTCGAGTGTCGAGCTGCCCACTGCAGGTGAGCGGCTGCCGGGGAGGGCAGGACACGGCACTGCTCTCCTGCTGTGCCCGGTCCTTGCAAAGCCCGCGCTGGGATGATTTTTCCCAGTGTCTGAGTGCCATGGAGCGGTTATGTATCTTTATTGCTCGTGAGCAGCTGTCTCAGTCGCTGCTAATGGACTGTAATACACACAGAGCTGACCCCAAAATGATGTCTTCACAGAAACTGCCTGTCTGTGGAACTTCTGCTGTAAAAGCCCAGAAGCACCAGGCTGGGTGATGTACTGTCATCTGCGAAGTGTGTGTGTGAGGGGTCTCTGGGTGCTTCTCCTCCGAGCCTTTGCTCTTACTTCATCCTTCCAAATCGGGTACCCCGCAGGGCAGAGGGGCTGAGGCAAATGCGAAGGATCAGTTCCCTTCTGTCTGCCTGCGCAGGACCCTCTCGCCTCCACGGCTGTCCCTGCAGTGCTGACAGGCACTGCTCTGAGCAGAGGGCATGACTTGGTGGAAGGGACAGAGCGGGGTGCAGGGGTCCCTCCTTGGGCCCTGGAAGGCAGTGAGTGCGGGCAGTCTACTTGCCACAGCCCCCGCTTCGCACCGACGCTGAGCAGAGCCAGAACCAGCTGCTGGGTGCCTGAATCCCCGGTAAAGGCTGTTTGGGGGCTCACCGTAACGTCTCACCGTTGTGAGCAATTTCCCTCCTGATTCTGCTTCCTCTGTATTTGCATGGTGAGCTTCCCCCCGCCCCCCCGTCGCGTTCCTCGGCTCATCAGCTATTCATTGATCTTTGCCAGACTCCTCCAGCACTCATTCATCATGCTCACGCCCGCCATCCACTTTCGAAATGTTTCCTGTTTTTACGGTGATGTATTCCCCTGTTCAGACAAGCTAATCTTGTGCCATCAATAATGGGGGTGCAGCTGTGCTCCCGACCTCTGTGCTGGCGCAGGCACGGCACACGTCCTGCGTGGACGGAGCTGGCCAGGCCGCGGTGATGCCAGGTGAGCGGCGCAGCCGCAGGGGCCTCCCGGGAGCCACTTCCCTGGCTGCTGGGTCTCTGCTGCAGCAGGTCGTCCCTCCCTGTGGGGACTTTGAAGCGTGCAGGTGGAGGCGATGGCCCTCATGGCCAGGACGAGCTGTTTTCCTGTAGCTGGGTGGGTGGCGATGGTCTTTGGAAAGGTGAGGCAAAGCCCTGGGGCAGAGCAGCCCTGTCTGAAAGGGGCTGGCGCTGGGGTCTACGGGGTGCCTGAAGCCCTGT